CTGAGCGCTAGCTCATTTATTGGTTTCTTGCGTATCAGTGTCTGTCATTCCTTCTTCAAGTCTAGGCAAATTCAAGACCTTACTATTTTATGGTCATCGCATCAAATTTTGCCAACTGAATTCACATCCTATACAATGCCCGGGCGTACACAAAGGTTGATGTCTATTTAATTCTTAGTTTCACCATTAGGACTCCTCCATGTTCACTTACGATTAGCTTGCTTTCTGTAGAAGATATTCAAGATCCGCAAGTTATTGCATTCTACAAACTCTACTTGTAACTTCCCTTTGGCATTTCTAGAACCAATGCCATATTCCCCCACTGCATGGTTTCTAGACTGCTTCTTGCCTACCCTAGCATTGAAGTGACCCATTAGTACAGTATACTGCGTCTTTACTCATTGCTGATTCTTTGTCTTCATAGAAGTGTTCAACCACATGATCATCATGACTGAATGTAGGCGCATAGGCCTGTACCACTTTCATCTAGTACCTCTTATGAGTTTAATTATGATACCTGCCACCCTCTCATGAATGCAAAAGTATTCCTCTAAGTTGCCAGCTATATTTTTATGGACAAAAAGCTCCAATCCCATTTCTCTTCTGTCAACTAAGCCACGATAGCATAGGACGTGTCCATTCTTCAGCCCTGTGTAAGCCTCACATGCCTTTTCAACTTCACTGAGCCCCATTACATCCCATTTAACACTCTATTACTACGCTAGACTAATAATACGCCAGACTCACCTCACTAGAAAATGTTATAGCATTAAATGTGGCCAAGTTTAGATTCCAATGACTGCTGCCTGTCTGGAGGTGGAGATTCCTAGCACCCTCCACTGTACTTGGTCAGTTGGTTCACAGCTGCTGGGGACTGAGGGCTAATTGATGTATTCATGTGGGAGTTAGTGGCTAAGTACTGCCCCAGGGTGGCCAATCAAAACAGAATATTAATTTGATATATTTAGCTAATACTCTATTTACTGGTTTAAAACAAGCATCAAGAAAAGCACAAGACTTGGCGTCCAAAGTGACAGCTGCAGCTAGCCTCCTGAACATAATGTTGATTGCCGATAACCAGTGGGGAGAATACTAGTATTGGATTGCATAGCAGAGCACCCAATGGCCTTAAATGAATCTCTCGAACAGACTATCTTTAAATCAACTGAATTAGAAATGCTCGAAAAGCTCACTAATGCAGGAGTGCACTACAGAATTTAGCTTTTGGTGCAAAAACAAAACAGCCACGACATCAGCATGTTGCACAGCTATCATATTTGCATATTCCCAATAAAGAATGCACCATCTGCAGACTGCCTGTAGGTTTACTTCGATATGACTTCTTCGAGGAACGTGGAAATATTTAAAAACTGACGTGTTGAGCATGACTATTACATTCAGCCTCATTTAGAAATGACATCACGAATCATTTTCTAGCTGGCATTAACATGCAATAATAAAAGCTTCCAACATCTACAGGTTTTCCCGCTCACTTTAATCCAAGTGCCAGCCTAAATAATCTGCACGCCATTGAAATAATCTGAACGCCGAGCTATTTAATCCATGTGCCAAACATTTAATCCAAGCGCCAACATATTTAATCCAAGCGCCAACTCACTCAGGCCGCGTGCCACTGAGTTTAATCCAAGTGCCACCATGTTTAATCCAATTGCCAATGACTTTAATTCAGGTGCCAGTCAGTTTAATCCATGCACAAAAACCAGATTACGGGGCGTAAAAATGGCAGTGCAATTGAAATGCAGTTCTATACAGTATAAAAGACAATAGTCAGTAGGTAGAATCAATTATTATTATTTGTATTCGCCGATAGTATTCTTGAAAAAAGTTACTGCCATGGTTCGCTTAAGCCATATTTGAAGTGCTTATACTTTGCTGTGCGCAAGTTTGTATAATGAGTGCTTGGCCCAGGTGAAATAAATTTAATGAAAACTAGAAAAGCGCAGGAACATATTACTGAATATTTCACAGTGCAATGAAATTCAGTATCTGTCATTGAGGCTCATAATTGGCTTTGGTACACTCTAGAACATTACATGACCAGGACAGGTCATGTAATGCGAATGACACACTATGTTTATTGGAGTGCCGGAACGCATACTAAGAGATTAAAAGCATGGTTGCGGACAGTGATGGGTCAAAGACAGCTACATAATCAAGAAATTAGGAAGCCGCCGCGAGGCACGCACTGTGAATTAGAAATAATTCCAATGTGTTTTTTTTTTTTTTTTTTTTCCTGTAGTGAACATAAAACGTAAACTGATCATCCTGATGTGGCAATAAAAGTTTTATTTTACATTATTGTGCCACGCCTGTAAACGTCCACAATCCTAGCCCTGTCGACCACCGATACTCTGCTTTTTTTTCGACGAGGTTCGTCGGGGTTCTTAAAGTGTGGTCCTCGTTTGCGTCCAGCCATGACTTCAAGCAAAGCTCTCTCTTCGTCTGCAAATGTTCCCGTATGAAAACACACGTTTCAAATAAACACGCTTCAGCTACATTAAGCGTCGTCTGTTACATGAAAACCGGAGTATCTACTTTCATGCTTTTACAACAACTTATTTCCACATGAACCCGAATAAATGCAAGTTTGGTATTTTTAAGTGGTTATTTCTGATTTAAAGAACGAATGAATATCATCTGTCGGTCACTGTTCTCCCTGGGCAGACGACTGCGGTAGCCTCAGCGCATAAGTAGCCAAATGCCGTCTGCTCAGCAGACGACACGAATCGATGCATATGCGATGGTGTAGATGGTTAACCGGAATGAAGCAGTAGCAATGCAATAAAGACTAACATGGACTCCATGAGCAAACACATTTAAGTACCCATAAATGCAATTACTACTGACTTTTTTTTATTTTGAAGCTATGACACCAAAATGTTAAGGGGAAGTCGCACTGCGCACTTCATTTCATAAGCGCTACCATGTATAGCCGAGGGAAAAGTTCTTGCTGTGAAGCGATGTTTACGTTATTCTGACATTTATACTATATATAGTGGCTAACTGTGTGTTTCTAGCGCACGGATTAAACTGACTGGCACCTGAATTAAAGTCATTGGCAATTGGATTAAACACGGTGGCACTTGGATTAAACTCAATGGCACGCGGCGTGAGTGAGTTGGCGCTTGGATTAAATATGTTGGCACTTGGATTAAATGTTTGGCACATGGATTAAACAGCTCGGCGTTCAGATTATTTAGGCTGGCACTTGGATTAAAGTGAGCGGGAAAACCTGTAGTTGAGCTTTGATTTAGTTTTGTCTTTGTAATGCTGCCCATATGTCAGTTATTGAACTTGTCCTTAAAAAGCTATTGAACAACGCCAATAGTACTACATTAAAAAATAATAATAAAGGCAGCTTTGCCCTCAAGCTTTGTCTTCCATATTGAGACAACTCAGTTTACTAATGAGAACTCATACATTTGGGGCCAGCAGTTTCTCAGATATCTGTATTTAACTTTAAAATCTTTCTATTTCCTACACTTGCATACAATAGACCATTTTTTGAACAAAAAAAAGCTAGCTTTCCTGCAATTCAATTATCTCAACTAAAGGCGGCTAAACACTTACCACAAACAGTGCCTTTTCCAAGCGCAGTTTTCTTAATTTACGAATAGCGCAACCTAGAAGTAGGTACAGCGTAGCTACTCCTAGGTTGCGCTGTTCGTTAATTCAGTTATGTCCTACCAACTTGCCCAAGTTTCCACGCTTCATAGTGGTTTTCTTGCGCTGTGATGCAGAAAATGTAAGCTCAGCTCTACTGATATAAACTCACATAGCAGACAAGCCCCAGCATGTGCAACTAGGATTTCGTCTCCCTTGACTTTGTTTACAAGCCCAGTATGAGAAGGCAAAACATTGTTATCAATGATGAAACATCACGGGAAGTTGATGTATCCCCTGCCATGCCACAAGGGTCAGTCTTGGGTCAACCATTGTTCCTCATCTGCATAGATAAAATTTGTTCCGGTACTTCAGCACAAATCAAACTATTTGCTGATTATTGTTTGTGCACAAAATTATACATTAATGATTAATTGATATGTGGGATTTAACAACCCAAAACAACTATATGATTATGAGAAACGCCGTAGTGGAGGGCTCCGGAAATTTCAACCACCTGGGGTTCTTTAACGAGCACCCAAATCTGAGTACACGGGCCTACAACATTTCCGCCTCCATCGGAAATGCAGCTGCCGCAGCCGGGATTCGATCCCGCGACCTGCGGGTCAGCAGCCGAGTACCTTAGCCACTAGACCACTGCGGCGCGGCAAAATTATACATAGCTCCCATGACTGCACTACTCTTCAAAACGATCTCGACAGTCTCTCAATGGTGTGAAAAGTGGCGTCCTAATTTTATAAGGCATTTAATGTTTCAACAGCAAAAAAAAAAAAACGTTTGTTCGGAACTTCTACACAAATGAAGGAAATATTTGAGGTCTAAACTTTTTCACCCCATAATTCATAATTGAACAGGCCTGGACACCCAGTTATACCTTTGCAAACCGGATCATATTTCACAGCAAGTGGACCATACAAATAACAAAAAGGAAATGAGCTGCAAAAATGAAGCATTTAAAATGTGATTTTATTCCAGGACGATAGGCCAGTGGAATACCTTCAGAAGTAGCAGAAATTATGTGATGTATTTAGAAATTCAGTACAGGCTCTGCAGTAGTGTAATCATGTGGTTGTGTAAGTACAGAATGGTATAATCAACCTACTTTGTGTACTCTAATGTACACACTGTACAAATGCACAATGAATTGTCTTTTCATTGCATTGTTGGAGTGTTAATATTCATACTGAAATATTGTGTGCTTCCAGCCACTATAATGCCCTTGGGCATTGTGGTTATTATAACAAATAAATAGGTACACCATAAGCTAGGCGAGTATGTAGCGCAGGGAAGCACACTTGTAGATTATGAAAAAGGACAAAATGTCAAGACAATTATGTTCATTCTTTCCAGCTCACCTTGTTCACTTCACAAGACTTGGTCCAGCTGAAGACATCTTCATGTGGAGGATACACAGTATATCTTTTTCGTTCTTCTAGCACAAAACTGTTAAGCTGAAACATTTAGTGCCACGGGTCAGTGAACACCATACAATGCAATGTCTTTTGAAAAATATAATTTATGGCTTGTTTTTTTTTGTTTTTTTAAGAATACGAGGCTCTGCCTACAAGTGCCTTGCATCACTACCTAACAAAAGGAGATGGTGAACCTCTCGATAGGGTCATGATTGTGCTCAGCGTAACAGCAGCCCTGTTGATTCACCGCAGTACTTCTGACCAGAAAGGTGGGGGGGTCCAAACCCTCTTTAACAATATTCAGTTTTGTTTGTGTATATATACATAAACACAAACGCACACACAAACATGCATAATGTATGATTGAAACCCCCCCGCCCCAAAAAAAATTTCTGGCTACGCCCCTGCTTATGACTGCTGGTAAGCCCAATGAGTGCATACGAAAAACTTATTGATGTTGGCACCACTACATTGAAGGGACACAAAGTCAAATAACAATTTACGTCAGATTGAAAACTCAATGTATGACAACATCTAAAATGACAAAATTAGCAACAACTGTGCCCTATCAAGAAATTAAGGTAAATGCACAAGAACACATACACCGCAGTAGGACACTTTCAAAATTATCCCGCTGACATCAGACTGGCCGCCTACAGTTAATCACTAGTAGTCTATCTAGCTGTACTAAATAAAGAACCTTTCATGCATCAACAGACGGAATAAAATGCTGCTTGTTCGTTTCTGTTTGATTCATGGAAAAAAGAACCACCGGAATTTACTATGGGGAATGGCGCGAGTGGTTCAAAAAATCAATTTTCGCATGGTTACACGGGACAGGTGGTGCCATCTAGCGGGGTGCAGTTGAACCAAAAAACGTCTGCAATCTCAAAGCCAATGGCAGAAAATTAATTAATGGCCGTTGTTGCTGCTGTGGCTCCCGCTGCTTTCGGTCTGCTGCTACTAGCGCAATAAAGCCGGGTAACGGTGTGCACGGCAACAGTGACGTGAATCGGTCCGGTCGGTTCGCTTCTTGAGGTGGGTAACTTGAAGTGCGCTGACCCGATACGGACCACTAAAACCTTATTTTATTTCTATATAGGCCCTTCCTTGGCACAAAAGTAACACTACGAGGTTTCTGGACTGCTATTTCAACAATCAACGCCGACCTAGTAGTTGCCTTTTAGTGTCCCTCAAATGGAAAATGATGCAAATACAATTTCAATTACTTAAAAATCAAGCAACAAATTCAGTTTAATTAAAATTCCAGGCAGTTAATGCCGGCATCAATGCACTGAGCCCCTCCCCCATAAAAAATTTCTGGCTACGCCCCTGCTTCTGACTGCTGGTAAGCCCGATAAGTCCATACGAAAAACTTATTCATGCTGCCACCACTGCTTTAACAAAAAATGACGCAAATAAAATTTCAATTACTTAACAATTCCAAATCAAGCAACAAATTCAGTTTAATTAAAATGCAAGGCAATTAATGCTGGCATCAATGCACTGCACCACCACCGAAAAAAAAAATTTCTGGCTACACCCCTGCTTCTGACTGCTAGTAAGCCCAATGAGTCAATACGAAAAACTTATTCGATGCTGCCACCACTACTTTAACAGAAAATGATGCAAATAAAATTTCAATTACTTAACAATTCCAAATCAAGCAACAAATTTTGTATAATTAAAATGCAAAGCAGTTAATGCCTGCATCAATATACTAGGAACCCTAATATGTATCTTGAAGTCAGCCAGATGTACCCGGCTCACAAATTACATAGGTTGCACATGTGACATCAGTTTGCTTTACAGTGGCGTACTTGCCATTGCAGCGTACACACATCATGATAATACATGTGCCTGTGCTCTTTTTACAGCTGTGCAGTTAATTGTGTGTGCATTGTTTATGTATATCTTTGTCTTTGGCCAGATGTGTAGACTTCCAACTTGCTCAAAGGAGGGGTTAGTGGGGAAGCAAAGAACAGAGCATAATAGGCAGGCAAAGCATGCCTGCCTCATATCAGCACCTCAGCACTTGTTTGTGCCTGCACTGCTAGAAGCAAACTGTGCAATTTTTTAACTTCTCTTGCCCCAGTACTCTTTTTCAGAGTTGCGCAGGCAAAACAAACTTTATAAGACTGAACCGTCCTGCATTTACAGAAAAACTGAAACCAGAGTCATCAAACTGAAGCTGAGAGAAAATCCCGAAGAGCAAAAAAAAAAATTGATTTGCGAGGGAAAGCAACTGAAACATCTATAGCACTTCTTCGACAACAGTCAACAGTTTCCAAAAATACAACGCATACTAAAAACAACAAAACAATGACAACAACACCTCCAATTTTTGCGCACCCGAACCTGCACACTGAATGTCATAAGCAACTAGTCTGTGAGAGCCATAACAATTAAAAGCGAGGGAAAAAGTTCAACAAAGCTTTAAACGATGGCAACAGTTCAGTGGAGACCTAATGAGATTAAATCAGACCAGGACAAAACTACTCTACCGATCGTTGTTTCTATGGACAATGAATATTGCCGAAGGCCGCATGAATCTGCAGCCCGGCTTCGCACAAAGCTCATGGCAAAATGTACTCACCTTTGCAAAATATTCTTTCGAAAACTCTTGCTCGAGGGCGCCAAACCAAGACAAACCTATATCAGCGGGAACAACAGGAGTGGCGCGAGACTGGAGCTTGACTTTGGCGATCAGGCGCTTCTTTTCTATATCAATGACAGGGGAAAATGCATTGTTCTCAGAACTTCCCTCGATTTTAGACTTCTTGACTGGTTGGTCCTGAAAAAAAGAAGCGGCAAATATTCCCAAGTTATGCGAAATACCCACTTCGCTGGCAGGACTATAGTGTACTAAAGAAGAAGAACATACGCGGCATACGGAGTCTTCAGAAGAAAGCAGTCGCTTGGGTGATGATGCTAGAGGCTTGAAGAACGCCGATATTGGTTTTTGTCCAGGCATTATGTCAGCTTTCAATTGCACAACGTCGGGAAAGATAACTAAATAACAATGATCGCTTTCCGGCAGTAGGTGACCGCTGACAGGAGCGAACACACGTGCGCTAGTTTACTCTGAAACCCGCGCTACCCGCACTAGAGTGTACTAGAAGTGTTTAGTGACGTGACCGCGCCTCGCCGCCTGATCCTTTCCGCGTCGCCCGCAACAGCGGCGCTGCAGTCGAATAGTACTAAAAGAGCCGTGCGCCACGTGCAGAAACTACGATAGTTATAGCGCGAAAACAACACGACGACAAAGAGACAAGAAGGACACGAAAGACACGAGCGTTCGTGTCTTTTGTGTCCTTCTTGTCTTTGTGTCGTCGTGTTGTTCTCGCGCTATAACTATCGTCATGCCATACCAACTAGCCCAAGCTGCCACACTTCTAAGTGCAGGAACTGCTATGCGCTTCGGCTCCTCCGTCGCAAATTCTTGATGCAGATTTTTTCGCGCCTGCCCGTCAATCATGTCTAGCACATGATGCCATAGCCCTTGAAGTATGACACGCCCGTCTACTGAATTTGAGCTCCATGAAAGCCCTTGTGAGAGATCGAAAATAATTCAGAAAAGGTGTGTCTTATACTCATTTCTTCTCTCTTAACTCTTTCTTCGTTGGTTAGGCGTCTACAATATTTAGAATAACTGAGCTGATTTATTGGAAGTTAGCTGTGCTCAGAAAGCTGTGATATTTAAAAACAAATATTGTGTCACACGCACGCAGAACCAGAAAGCCACAAAGAAAGAGGGGAGAGGAAGGTAATCTTAACACTCTACACCATGAAATGTTTCGGTAATTTAACTTTTGGGTGTATACTAAAATAGTTACAGGCATTCACAGCGACCACCAATTGCCAATTTAGGCGTTCTGCTGCACACTACACACCCTCAAAAAAAAAGAAAAAAAATCCTGGGTAGCCCTGCGCCAATATTTTAAAGTTGGCGAAGCGGAATATAGCATGTCTCAAAATAACTTCAAGTCTAGCGTAGTCGGACGAGATATGCACCGCCTAAATATAGTAGCTGTGCTAAAGCGCAATATATATATATATATATATATATATATAGGTATAAACTTCGAGAATAGTGCAGTATAGGAAACAAAACAATAAAATATTTATTTAATCCTAACAGTTTCGGCTGGTGGACCAGCCTTCTTCGGAGGATGTAAGTGAAATGATACAAGTTCCCGTAGCAGAGGGTCACCCTCACAGTTTAAAGACCCTCCAAAAAAAGAGAGAGAGAAAAAGACAAGCGGGCGAACGAGGTAGCAACAGACAACAAGAAGCAGAAGAAGGAGAGGAACTAGAAAGGAGCGACGGAGAGCCGCCGGAAACGAGCGGGTAATTCTGGCATTGTTGCTGCGTATAGGTAAGACGCGCCGCCAGCGGAGGCGACCAAGAAAAACGGAAAAATGTGGAACATGTTGCCGCTTACTCGCATCTCACACATGGATCGAGTTTAAGTTCACGTGGTTCGGCGGCTGGCCCGTGGCATCGGGCCACACACACACACACACACAAGAAGCATACGACCCGCTCCAGCTTTCGGAATATAATGGCCACGTTGGAAAGCTAATGTGCCCTCTCCCCCTCCCTCCACCTGCCCTCTCTTGCAGAAAAATGTACAACCAGTCATACTGAAAATAAATAAATGGGTATTCTTGTAAAGGATGAAAATATATAAAAATAAATAATACTAAAAAGTATTAAGAAATGAAAATAAAGTTTAATAATACTAACACAATCCGTTCGGTTTACGTAGCATCGAATTCGTTTAGTTTCGCTATATTGACTAAATTGCGTGTGCGACTTCACGTATGTATAAATAAATTAATTGAGTAATTCAATTTCTGTGTTTCACGAAACGTCGCGGAGACACGTCAGTCGCCCAGGGCTCTCGTTGATTCCGTGGGTAAGTGATCTGAATTTCTTTATAAAGTATGACTCCCGCTGTTCGCGCTCCCGTGTGTTCTGGAAGCCGGATTGTAGGAGTATGACACTTACGCGTTCGAAAGAGTGACCAGGAAGATTGATATGTTTGGAGAACGGCAAATTGGGGAGGCCCTTTACGTGTGCCCTGTGGTTGTTGAAACGCAAACGGAACGCGGTTTCCGTGTGTCCAATATATTCCTGTTTGCACACCTCGCAGCGAATTTTGTATACCACATTGGCTGAGTCACAGTTAAGGTCGTCTTTAATTTTGTACACATAGTCTGAACAGGAGGCTTCGGCCGTATCTGTGGTCACCATGTGTGTGCACACCCTGCAGCGAGGTTTCCCGCACGGTCTACAGCCCTGATGGTGGTCGGATTTGTGTGTTTTCGCCCTGACCAGTAAGTCTCTCAGGTTTTTATTTCTTCGGTAAACCACCTTGGGCGGAGTCTGAAAAATGGCAGAGAGGCGACTACTCTGTTTAAGTATGTTGAAGTGGCGGTTTAGTATAGAATTCACCCGAGGGGCGGCGGCGCAGTATGTGAGGATTAAATTTGCCCCTGAAGTTATATCATCCTTATTCCCACCTTTTTCTCCCATTGTTGATTCTCGGTCCAAAGAGCGAGCGCGCTCAATTGCATTGTCAATTATTTTTTCGGGGTACTTTTGACGCAAGAAGGCTGTTCTCAATTCCTGTGCGTGGGTGTCAAATTGCGTGATTTCAGAGCAAATTCTTCTGTATCTGTGGGCTTGAGAGTAAGGAACACCTGTTTTGCAGTGATGGGGGTGACTGCTATGGAAATGCAGATACTGTTGGCGGTCTGTTGGTTTTTTATACAGGGAAGTAGATATGGTGGTGCCACTGAGTGATACAGTGACATCCAGAAAGTGAACACTCTTCTGCGAATACGTGTGCGTGAATGTTATCGAAGGATGCACGGAGTTGAAACCGGAAATGAATTTGGAAAGATTATGTTCACTATCGGCCCACACGAAGAATATATCATCGAGGAAGCGTCGGTAAAATATAGGTTTGAATGGAGAATTTTCGAGGAAAGGAATCTCTAAAGAGGCCATGAAAATATTTGCGTAATTTGGGGCCATTTTGGTTCCCATGGCAGTTCCGTTTACTTGCAGATAATGATTTTGGTCGAATTCAAAGTTATTATGTTTAAGTACCAGATTTAGGAGCACCTCTAAAGCGCTTTCGTCGAATTCACTCGTCGATTTACTTTTTCCATAGGCGGCGACTGTGGCGGCGATTCCTTCGGAGGAATCGCCGGAGGAAACACCGGAGGAATCGCCGCCACAGTCGCCGCCTATGGAAAAAGTAAATCGACGAGTGAATTCGACGAAAGCGCTTTAGAGGTGCTCCTAAATCTGGTACTTAAACATAATAACTTTGAATTCGACCAAAATCATTATCTGCAAGTAAACGGAACTGCCATGGGAACCAAAATGGCCCCAAATTACGCAAATATTTTCATGGCCTCTTTAGAGATTCCTTTCCTCGAAAATTCTCCATTCAAACCTATATTTTACCGACGCTTCCTCGATGATATATTCTTCGTGTGGGCCGATAGTGAACATAATCTTTCCAAATTCATTTCCGGTTTCAACTCCGTGCATCCTTCGATAACATTCACGCACACGTATTCGCAGAAGAGTGTTCACTTTCTGGATGTCACTGTATCACTCAGTGGCACCACCATATCTACTTCCCTGTATAAAAAACCAACAGACCGCCAACAGTATCTGCATTTCCATAGCAGTCACCCCCATCACTGCAAAACAGGTGTTCCTTACTCTCAAGCCCACAGATACAGAAGAATTTGCTCTGAAATCACGCAATTTGACACCCACGCACAGGAATTGAGAACAGCCTTCTTGCGTCAAAAGTACCCCGAAAAAATAATTGACAATGCAATTGAGCGCGCTCGCTCTTTGGACCGAGAATCAACAATGGGAGAAAAAGGTGGGAATAAGGATGATATAACTTCAGGGGCAAATTTAATCCTCACATACTGCGCCGCCGCCCCTCGGGTGAATTCTATACTAAACCGCCACTTCAACATACTTAAACAGAGTAGTCGCCTCTCTGCCATTTTTCAGACTCCGCCCAAGGTGGTTTACCGAAGAAATAAAACCTGAGAGACTTACTGGTCAGGGCGAAAACACACAAATCCGACCACCATCAGGGCTGTAGACCGTGCGGGAAACCTCGCTGCAGGGTGTGCACACACATGGTGACCACAGATACGGCCGAAGCCTCCTGTTCAGACTATGTGTACAAAATTAAAGACGACCTTAACTGTGACTCAGCCAATGTGGTATACAAAATTCGCTGCGAGGTGTGCAAACAGGAATATATTGGACACACGGAAACCGCGTTCCGTTTGCGTTTCAACAACCACAGGGCACACGTAAAGGGCCTCCCCAATTTGCCGTTCTCCAAACATATCAATCTTCCTGGTCACTCTTTCGAACGCGTAAGTGTCATACTCCTACAATCCGGCTTCCAGAACACACGGGAGCGCGAACAGCGGGAGTCATACTTTATAAAGAAATTCAGATCACTTACCCACGGAATCAACGAGAGCCCTGGGCGACTGACGTGTCTCCGCGACGTTTCGTGAAACACAGAAATTGAATTACTCAATTAATTTATTTATACATACGTGAAGTCGCACACGCAATTTAGTCAATATAGCGAAACTAAACGAATTCGATGCTACGTAAACCGAACGGATTGTGTTAGTATTATTAAACTTTATTTTCATTTCTTAATACTTTTTAGTATTATTTATTTTTATATATTTTCATCCTTTACAAGAATACCCATTTATTTATTTTCAGTATGACTGGTTGTACATTTTTCTGCAAGAGAGGGCAGGTGGAGGGAGGGGGAGAGGGCACATTAGCTTTCCAACGTGGCCATTATATTCCGAAAGCTGGAGCGGGTCGTATGCTTCTTGTGTGTGTGTGTGTGTGTGGCCCGATGCCACGGGCCAGCCGCCGAACCACGTGAACTTAAACTCGATCCATGTGTGAGATGCGAGTAAGCGGCAACATGTTCCACATTTTTCCGTTTTTCTTGGTCGCCTCCGCTGGCGGCGCGTCTTACCTATACGCAGCAACAATGCCAGAATTACCC